GGGGGGGTTGGACTAGATGACCTCTAGGGGTCCCTTCCGACCCAAAACTTTCTATGATTCTGTGATTCTATGTTGTTGCTTTCTGCTATAGCTGCTAGGTTTTAAGTGACTGAATAAATTAATGCTTTTTGATGTTGCCTTTCAATATGTTTTTCCATAATGAGAATAGTAGAAAGGTACATGTTACCGTATTATACAATATGCTTAAATAATTATCAGTGTATCTATTGAACATGTCCTTGTTTGTTTCAGCCATGTACGAGCAGTCTCAGTCTGACTTCCCATTGCGTGTTGAACAGTGTATATATGATGACACCTGCACACTTATTTTTCAGACACCATGAGTGGAGTTGTTCAGATGGTGGAATTTAAATATTTTCATGTTTCAGTGTAGTCACCTCTGCTAAGAAAAAATATGTGTGAAGGAGTTTTCTTCAGACAGACTAGAAGGTTTTAGCAAAATAGTCCTGGAAACTATCCTAGTTAGAAGATGAGTTTTCCTTGAATTCTTTGAATGTGAGATCCTTTGACAAAGGAGGTTGACTAAGTTGCTTAACAGTCCTGGGTCCTAACAAAGCATACATTTTCTCAGTGAAAGGTCCCTGGATCTGCCATCTTCACAGAACAGTCAAGATGGGAAGGGACCTTTCAAGATCACATAGTCCACCTCTCCTGCTCAAGCATCTTAGTACAATATAGTAGATAGTTGTTGATAGCAGTGTGTCATTTTTTTATGGAGTGGCTGCATATATTGAAGGGTGATACTGGCTTCCTTTGAGGGTATAATTGTATAAATGATGTGTGTGGCCAGGTCATTGTATGATTTTTATTAATCTAACTGAAAGTCTTAAATTATTAATTCTTTGACTTAGATTAGAAGTGAAGCTGTGCTGTGGAGATTTAGATCAGTGGTAAATAAGATGTATGAGACATATGTTAATATAATCTGCTCAGTGTCTCTTGACAGCTGTTCACTAGCAAGAAGAAATTTTATTATTAAAATTCGGGTACATATAAGGTCCTCGTGTTACTTTTGTTTAAATATAGTTGTAGGTTTGCAGATCTGACATTCATACTTAGACATTTTGGCAGAGTTTCACTTGGTTTGAGAATCATAGAATCATTTATGTTGGAAAAGATCTTGAAGATCATAGAGTCCACGTGTAAACCTAACAGTGCCAAGTGTACCGCTAAACCATGACCCTAAGTGCTACATCTACACGCGCGTCTTTTAAATACCTCCAGGGACGGTGACTCCACCGTTTCCCTGGGCAGCCTATTCGAACGCTCCATAAGTGAGTTCTCCTTTCAGTGAAGAAATTTTTCCTAATATCCAACCTAAACATCCCCTGACGCATCTTGAGGCCAATTCCTCTCGTCCTATCACTTGTTACTTGGGAGAAGAGACCAACACCCACCCCACTACAAGCTCCTTTCAGGTAGTTGTAGAAAGCGATAAGGTCTCCTCTCAGCCTCCTTTGCTCCAGAATGAACAACCCCAGTTCCCTCAGCTGCTTGTCATGAGACTTGTTCTCCAGCCGCGTCATTAGCCTCATTGCCCTTCTCTGGACACGCTCCAGCACCTCAGTGTCCTCCTTGTGGTGAGGGGCCGAAAACGGAACACAGTACTTGAGGTGCGGTCTCACCAGTGCCAAGTACAGGGGAATGGTCATTTCCCTAGTCCTGCTTGCTACACTATTTCTGTTTTATATGTTAAGTTTTTCTAAAATAAATCTAAAGAAAAAAATTTAAAGCATATGAACTGATAGTATCTGATTTGCGATCTTTGATTGCAGTTCAGAGTTTCCAGAGATTAAAATTTATTTAAGAGAAAGAGCTATCTGTTAGATATTTTTAAGTCTTTGCTAGTCAGAACAGGTGTTTCAGGATTGAGTAGCACATGTAGGCTAAGATATTCGTAAATCAGTCAGTAAGGAAACTAATGTTAGAAAGCAACCTAGTCAACACGCAGACAGATTTATTGCATCTTCAGTATTTAATTTCATTGAAAGAAACAACAAGTACTATCCAAAACCTCAGTAAAATAACTCACAAGAAAAACAATGTTGGTTGAGCTAAAAATTATTGTTAATGGGAAGTTTTGAGACTTAGAATGCACAGTGGAACTGAACCAAGGGTAAAGGTATCTATTTTCTTAAGCTATTTCAGAAATTTAAGACAAGTTCAATACATAGGTACTGAGTTGCTTCAAAACAAAAATAAAAGCCTGACAAATGCCATCCGGCATAATCCTGGCAGATGATGTCTAGAGATACAGCATATACCTTATGATTGCAAGGCGGTTCAGGTGGGAAGGGACCTCACGAGATGGGTAATCCAACCTCCTGGTCAAAGATGGGTCAGCTGGTGGGGTCAGGCTTAGGTCTTTATCCAGTCAGTTCTGGAAGCGGTCAAGGGTGGAGACTGCACAACCTGTCTGAGCTGCAGCAACTCTGCTTGACTGTCCTCACCGGGAGAAAGTTTTTTTTTTTTTATTACCACTCTCAACCTCTCTTGTTTCAGTGTAGACCCATTGTCACTTGTCTTCCTGCCATGCACCTTAGTAAAGAACCTGGGTCCATCTTCTCAGTGATATGTCTTCCTGTAGGTACATGCTTCCGTGATCTGTCTGTGCTCCTGTTAATTGAGACCAGGGTGCCGTGGGCTGCGTTTGGTTCCAGAGCGCACTGCTGACTGGTGTTCAGCTGGCTGTCCACCAGGACCCCCAGGTTCTTTTTAGTAGATCCGCCTTACTTTATTTTTTGAATGCTTTCACCATGCACAAGGCCTGGTAGATCTTTCTGGTGAAGACTGAGGCAAAGGTGGCTTGAGTCTCAGCTCTTATCTTCTAATTTATAGATTATAAGGAATACAGAAAGGTAGAAAACAGATATTTTTGTAATACCTGATTCTGCTAGTAAATTAATTTGTCATTGGTAATTTTACTTTTAGAACTGGACTGAATGTTTTTTTTCCTGTGCAAGATTAAAATGGAAGTCAAAAAAAACCCACAATCAACCCAGTGCGCTATTGTTACTATTATACACATTTGCACTATTACTGATTATTTTATAATAGGTTGATAATAATTGGTAATAAATGGTATATCGGTATCAATGTATTACTATTCTTGTATTTCCTGAGTAAAGCTGGAGCATAAACCTTGAGATACCTCTACTGAGAGAAACAGTCTTACATGCAAAATGAAGAGTGTCCATGTCATTTTTCAAGGTCAGACAACCTTTCTTCAGAGATGTTTTGGATGTGCCATTCTACAGACCATTTCTAGTTCCTGTTACACTTCTGCCACACTTTTTTCCTTTCTCTTTGTGAACTTTTCTATTTCTTTGGTCTATGACTGATAGTTTATTGCTATGCAGCATTTTCTTTATCAGGTGGAACGGAGGGAAATAAAAAACTAAGTAACAAAACATTCCAAAGGGTATACTAAAGATTATGTAGAATACCATGCATGCAGGTTTTTTATACCAAACATACTCTTGCTGAGGTATTGATGCGAACTAGCAAGTGCACACAATATATTTGTGTTACGAAACTTATGGCAGCATTTATTTTTTCTGACATTTGTATTTATTTTTTGAACATTTTTATTAGTATTGTTGTTAATTTATTTCATGGAATCATAGGCTCTTTTTCAGTTAAATCAGATAAAGTATCAAAAGTCCGGTAGATATGTTGCTGTTCCCAACATGGATAGTTTTCTTTTGCTAGATGGCTTTGAAATACTAGCCTTTCCAGTAATTAAGGGAGAATCTTATAATACTTCTCACAGAAATGTTATTCTCATACAACTTTAAATAATTAATTGTTTTAATTCCAGGTGTCCTGTTGAGAAAAGTTTTCACAAAAATCTCCTTTTCCAAGATTATTTTTGTGATCTGCAATAAATGTGTGTTAACAGCTGTCTATCTCCAAAAGAAACAAAGGCGTAGAAGTTAGAGGATCTCTTTTGCGTTGAGTCAAGATTTTATTGCGCTGATCGCTTGTACTGCATTTAGGAGTGGTACCTTGAATATAAAGAGTCTCTTTAAAGAAAAATAGAAATAAGAATTATTTCAGAAAGCATTAACAAATATTTAATACAAATATTTATTTGATCTGCAGAAATTTACTGGAGTGCTTCCTCGATGCTTCAAAATGGAAAGAAGCAGAAGAGTTTTCATCTACTGCAGCAATCTTTATTAAGGAAAATGTTCCAGATAAATACTCTCAAATATTTTCTCTAATGGTAATGCTGTAAAATATTTTAAACTCCCAGTAAGACAGGAGCTTTCTCTACACTTCATAAGATGATAGTTATGGTTGTTAAATATGTTGTTTCCTTCATTAAAATTTTGTGAGCTACCAAACAATACAGTAGAAAGGTAGAGATTTTTACAATTTGTGTGGTTTTGATACTATAAGTTAAAGAGCTCACTACTGCTCCTGCAAAACTTATTGTTCCAGTACAGCTTAAGTAATCAGTATCGATTGCTATGGGCAGTCAGTCTGAGAGAGTAAGAAGAAACAATGTGCATGCGTTTAATGTGTAACTCTACAGTTATATTGAAGTAGCTACAGTTTATTGTAGTGTCTTCATAATATTTTTAGTTATATATAATTTATAGTTACAGACAAATTTGAGCAGGGCTCACTTCTTGTAGCTGGATGAGATGATCTCAGAATGAGTGCAATCAAAAGGTGTTATTAAAAATGCATTAATTAGAATTCTGACTCAGATGTTAGTTCCACATTTAGATTTCTGCTAATACTTCTTATCCTCACTATGCGAAGATTAATATAGCTCTACTAGGCAATCTTTGTGGTATCCATACAGAAAAACATAAATTGCCATAGTAGCCTCACTGCCCTTAGAGTCCAGGAAAAAGCCTACGGTCAATATACCTGCTTTATTTTAGCCCTGTTGAGTGTTTGTCCTTTGTTTGCTTATTTAATCAATTAATAATTAAATTGTTATTTTATAGGTATACCACAAACTAATGGATATTTCACAGGTAGAGAAGGAAATGCAAAATTCCATCCATTTTTCAATTATTTATAAAATGCAGATGTTAAAATTGTAAGTATTAAAATGTATCCTTCCACTTGTACTTTGGTGCTTGATGTTACAGAGGTAGTGTCCGATTCTGGTAACCCATATGCCAGTAGAAAAATCTACTGCAACGATCAGTTTCTCAAAAGGAGAGCTATGATGATGCTTTGGGTGGCCTGTCTAAAGAACAGCCTCAGCTAAAAAATGAGATGTTTCTTTGTGAATGTAGGGAATAGTGTGTTGTACAGATATTCTAAAGTGAGATGAAATGGGGAAATTGCATCTAAAATATAGTGCATGAATCGAAGAGTGGGAAGTGCAATACTTTTTAAAGGCATGAAACAATTTTGAAAATTAGACTTCATAGCAAAATCTTGTTTAGTTTTTTTTTCCCAATGCCTCAACGCTTCCTCATTTTAAAAATATTAATTCTTTCCTTAGTAATAGTGGATTAATTTATGTTGACATTGTAGGAAAGGAGTTTTGCACACCATTTTTCTCTGCTTCTGGAATAAAATTTAACATCTGAAATATTAATTCTTATGCTAGAATTTTCTTTGTGCTTTGTATCTGGCCGTCTCTGACTGACTGACTTGGCATACCGAAGTAGGTTTGGTTGACTTGATTTTTAAATTTTTTTTCTTTGACATTTCAAAATCCAGGTATCCCATGGATACTTTGGACTAAGGGCCATACATTCTAAAGTTAAGAGAGTTACTTCAAATTTTTAGTGCAATAATATTTCATGTGATAAATTTGAGTCCTAATATATTGCAGGCAGTGGGACAGAAATGAATTTCCAAGCGATTCCACCACAAATCTGAACTCTGTATATGTCCTTCTGAAACAATACGATGTACCTCCAGCATCTGTTCTCAGTGTGAAGTGAGTTTTACTTGTCATAGCCCTGTGAAAGTTGATGCTGAAGCCGATCCTGCTTCCACTGAAGTCTGTCAGAATTCCCGTTGACATTGCAGAGAGTGAACTTGTACTTAGTTACAGTAGTTCGTGTTGTTGCATTAATGCTTAGGTCATCCTAAAAAAAGACAAAGATCCTGTAGGTGTTATTAAAGAACCCAAGATTAAATATCTTCTTCCATGTAGCTGTTTGTATAACGTGATTAAATCTTTTCATAACCCTTTCTTCTTGATAAAATGAGATTTTTAAAAGGTTTTGGAATTGACAACTGCTTTTCAGACTTTAGTTCATTTTTGGCTTTTTATGGATCCCTTCCCAATTCTTCAGCATAATTTCGAAACGCAGACTAACCAAACTCTCTATTGCAGTAGTTATATCACAGCTGTTACATGTGGAAGTAATACTACATTTTTACCTATTAAAGTCAATCTTCTTTGACAATGTTCAGGAGTCTCATTAATTCCCCTATGCCAGACAGTACACTATGCTCATTCCGTTATTTACAGAGATCCAACCATTTAGAACACAGTCTCCTGCTGTGTGTATTCTGTGTTCTTAGTTCCTAAATAATTGACCGATGGATTTGACTGTTTGAAGTTGTATGCTGGTTGACTGCATTGTGTTTACAGAATTACCTCAAATCTTCATTTGGTGTTTCACCATGTATGTGCTGCATACATTTCATTCTGTGTTTTTTATGTTCTTCAGAAACAGTTTGTGCAAGACTACAGTAGAAGTATGATAATTATTTTCCTTAAACAGATGAACTTTTGTATTTTTCATGTAATCAGCTTTAATATTTTTCCTTTTTTCCTGTTAACTGTGAGCATTACTAGTATAATCTCGTCCTCTAATATTCAGATGACTTCAAGATTTTCAGATATATTGCATGAAGTTACTTTCATATAGTGTTTTTCTTATTCTTTAAGAGAGCAATATCAGATTCTATGAAGTGACATTTTTTTATTTTTGAAGGATCCCTTTGATTTTGGAATTTGCACGTTTTTCTGTGAAAGTAAACTGCATTAAGCTTGCATATGATTGCATACTTGATTTGAAGAGAGCTGGGATTACTGTAAGTGTTAAAATTAATTACGGTTGATTTTTTCTTGAACAACTCCCCACCCCATTGTGATTATACTTGAAAAATAACACTGGTGGTTTTGGGATCTTCTGTCCATTTCTGTGTTGTTTATATATTCATTAATTTAAACAATTACTTGGAGAAGTGATCTATTCCTAAACTAGACAGAAGAAGTAAGGTCAGAAGGTAGGGTACAGGTAAGAATAAGCTAAATAGCAGTGCAGTTTTTTTGGCAAGTAAATGTTAACTGTAAATTTTTGCCTATTTTTAAATGTTATCTCTGGAACAGTTTGATTGGCAGTTAAATGCTGCTTGCAGGTTTTGAAGATTTAACCAGTTTACCAATTGAGGTTGTAATTGGTCACCAAGATAAAAGCTTAAAAGCAGTTAATGTGATATACATTTGCTTTAGTCTTTATGAGTTCAGTATCAACCTTGCAAAACAGCATATGAATTCTACTTCAGATGAGGAGAAAACAGAGCATTTGTCTGGAGCCTGATTAGGAGACTGGTAGAAGGAGGAGTTCAAAAAAGTTTGCCAAAAAAAAAGCCCCAAAGTTGTTACTTTTTCTGGAAAGTGGGCCTTAAGCAGTGTAGCACTCTAATTTGAGCGAGAAACTCAGAGACGTTGTTCCACAAACTGCACTCCCTAATACTTTCCTTTACGTGGGTCTTTTCTGACAGTGTTTGTTCCTATGCCTTTCCCAGTTTCCCTTAGTAGGAATGATTCATTTTCCAGCAAACTGTTACTTGATTTGTTATTACTAACATGTAATGATTTTTTTACTCTTCTGCAGTATTTTTATTATTATGTTACTGTAGCGGTATTCTTAGATTAAAATTTTGTGTGGTCTACCTAATAACTAGTCTTTCAATGTGCATGCCCTTTTTGATTCTTACATCCAGCTAGCTCTGAGATCTGTTTTTTCTGTTCCTTCCCCGTTGTTGTGGTTTCGCCCCAGTGGGCAACTAACCACCACACAGCTGCTCACTCACTTTCCTCCGGTGGGATGGGAGAGAGAAACAGAAGAGTAAAAGTGAAAAAACTCTTGAGTTGAGATAAAAACAGGTTAATAATAAAAAAAAAGGGGAGGGGGAGAAAAAAATAACAGAAAAATAAAACTCGAGAAAAGACAAGTGATGCAAATGAAAACAATTGCTGACCACCAGCCAACCTACCAATGCCCAGCCAGTCCCTGAGCAGCAGCCCCCCCATCAACCTTCCCTCCCACTTTTATTGCTGAGCGTGATGCCATGTGGTCTGGAATATCCCTCTGGTCAGCCGGGCTCAGCTGTCCCAGCTGTGTCCCCTCCCAACTTCTTGTGCACCTCCAGCCCACTCACTGGCAGGGCAATGTGAGGAGCAGAAAAGGCCTTGGTGCTGTGGAAGCACTGCTCAGCAACAATTAGAACGTCCCTGTGTTATCAACACTGTTTTCAGCACAAATCCGAAACATAGCCCCATACAAGCTACTATGAAGTAAACTAGTGCTGTCCCAGAATCAGAACTGTTCATCACCGTATTTGGAAAACAGGTATGTTTTTCAATTACAAAAAAGTGTGAAGTGGTGCCTGGTTGTGTTGGGATCCCCATGAGTAATTTTTAATTGTCTGAAATATGCATGTAAGGAAATAAGTGGCAAATACTGCCAAACAAATTTCAAAGAGTATTTTCAAATTTCTACTATAAAGGTCCTACTTTGACTTACTTGTAATGTAAATTTAACTTATCCTCAGTGAAACTTTTTTATTCCAGGTGCCTGCTTCAGGCCCATTTTTTCTCCTGCAATTCTAAAATCATACACAATTCCATAGCATTCCACTGGAAGATGTATTTAAATCTCCTAGATCAAAGATGCACAAGGATTTAGTTTGGCTATTTGTATAGACAGTTATAGCAAGTATCCCTTCTGCCGCAGCAGTAGAGAAGCCTTGCTTCTATTTCAGCCTTCTCTCTTAGAGTTAGTGGGTGTTTAACTGACCATCTTCAGACTGCCCAGCATCATTTTGACAGTGACCTCTTCATGGTAGAGTGAGAGTAATCTATATCAAGTTCCAGTTCCTTGGCTTTTGCCAAGTAGTGACATGTTTTGCAGCCATAACATGAATTCCATCTCTCTATGTGTTGGTCATTATGTTGTAGTGGCAGTTTTACATTCATGTAAGTTTTTCAAGATGTCATCTGTTTTCCAGTCATGAGGATGTTCAATTAATAAAGGTCTGAAATCAAATTACAGTATAGGAAATACCAAGTGTACATGGGTTTTCTCATTGCAAAGTCTAGCAGTGAACAATTTTAAAAATCATGGTAAAGTTATTTTGCAGCTTCAGCTTAGTAAGAGTGACTGCTGTTCAACAAATTCCACTCCCTTTTTATTGTTTCAGTTAATTAGCCAGTACAGTGCTGTGTTAGTGTAATTACGTGAGTTTAATCATCATTATGTTCCTTTTTAATTATTAAAATTATCATTTTATATGTTAATACTTCATAGGAGCAAGGGAAACTTATTGAAATAGAATGCCTGGAATGTGAATATGAAATGAAAAAATTTGGCACTAAAATTGTGACTTACACCAAAGAAGTTGTTGAGGTATGTTCTTTAACTTTGAGAGAAAAGTAAAAGTTTTAATTTGTTAAACATGGAAAATTGCATTGGATGATGTGTCTGAATTACGTTATACTGATCAGATACTCTTTTAAACTTTATATTCTTGCTAATTGGACTGCCAAGAAGAAAACAGGAAAAAATAAAGAACAGTTGTATATTCCTCCTGTAAGTCTTCTGTCTGATTATTTTCATAATGTATTTCTTTCCAAGAGTAAAGATGGTAGCATTGAGGCATGCAAAGGCAACATTTTCTTGTTTTCATATTTCACATTTATGGGAGGTTTTTTCGTAGAATATCTCAAGTTGGAAGGGACCCATAAGGATCGTCAAGTCCTACTCAACTATTGCATGTTATGGGCAGTCTCATACAAATTCTTATGTTACAGAAATGCAGATTATTCCTGATAAATTGTCACACAGAGGAGGATTTTCTTAGATTTCTGTAGTCAGATGACTCAGTTATAATTCAGACCATCAAAAGTAAAGCCTAAATTGTCAATATTATCAATGAGATTAGGTAGATACCTACAATGAGCAATGTAGAACAGCTGTTGGAGGCACCTGAAGTTCCTAAAATTAGAAGTATGAATATATTTCATGGAAATTGATAGTGTTAGTGCATAAACTGACTCCTATCTATGACTTCTCATTTTGGGGTTCAGAAATTCCATTGGTCTTTTGAAAAAAAAAGTTCATGAATTCCTCATGATATGAAACACTACTAATACTGCTTAAATAAAAAATAGGATATTTAGGCATTTAGATATTTTGAAATATTCCTACTGCAGTGTATGCAATTGGAGATTTTGTGTTTGATTTTTTCTTTTTTCTTAATGGCATAACCTCTAAAAATAACTTAATTAGCAGTGTCTGTTACTGTAGGTAAGAATTTGCTTTTAGATTTAATAAGAACCAAGTTTAATTGACAGTATGGCAAAGCTCATTCATAAAATTTCTTTTTTTCCTCTTTTACACTGCATTTGTAGCTTAGTTAAAAAAAAAGAAAGCAGCAGCTAAGCCTTCTGAATTCACAAATATTTCACAATTATCAGTTTCTGGTTATCATAAGAAAGGTGAATAGCTGACAGACTTCTGCCTGAAACATGTAGTAGCAGCATGGAGTGCCTAAAAGAAGTACTGCTTAGTTATTGATACCTATTTAAAAAAAAAAAGGTTTTATTAAAGAAATTGTAAAAAAAAAAAAAAAAAAATTCCGAAGTCTGCTGGCTGAGAGACTGCTTTCTGTTGGAAACAGCCCTAAGATTAAAATTTGGAGGAATGTGTAAGAACTTCTATTTGTTAAATGCAATATATGTTGATTAATTTTTCATTTGTGTAGGCTCAGCTGGAATTGATAAAAAATCTGGAGTTAACCTTAATACATGCAGTTCAGTTGGGAGATCCTGATGTCATTCAGGTTGTTTGTACAACCCAGTGGAATTTGTGCTTATCACTACTACAACACAATTTGCATCAACATGTGCGAAAGCCGTTGATATCAGTTGCTGATGTCCTTGAAGAGATTGACAGGTACCTTTCTACACTGTGCATTTTTTTTGTTTGTTACTTTGAAAGGTCTAATGGCTGAGCATCAAATTCATTTAAAAGCTAAAGCTCTATGATGTAAAGTGTTTGAAAATTTTCCACTACTTATAATAAATTAACATCTGCGTTTTGCCTACATTTCCTTGTTAATCATTTAAATATAGGTTCCTTTCAGGCAAAATTCCACACTGTTTAATGGCCTATAGCAAATACTGAAATTTATTAGGAACTGAAAAAACACTGTTGTACTGCAGTTGCCAGCTGGTATTTAACCACAACTGTAGTTAATCAAAATTATCAGTTAGTCTATGAGATGTGTTGTTTCCTCATGGCTGTGTTTTCTTATGCAGGGTTAGTGGAAGTACAATGTGGTTAAATTTTCTAAGTAATTTCATTAAAAAGGCATGGTAGTGAAAAAGGAGGAGGCAAGTAAGTTAAAAAGGGAATATCTATTTTCATACTGGAGTCACTTTTAATTATTGAGTTTCACTTTTGCGTAATTTTTAGAGTTTTGGTTTGCCTTGTTATAACAGTTATATTTAAATTCGTATTCCTTAGCATGTTGATTTTGTTGCGCTGCCAAGTTCATATGGAAATAGCTCGTATTGAAGAAGATGGGGATAGAATAGAGGCTGCTGTGGAACATTTGCAAAAAGCTATACATCTAAACAACGGTGGGCAGTATGAAGAATATCTGAGACTGACTTTTAACCGTCTCCGTTTGTGCACTATGCTGTATAAGTCACCTGAGCGTCTAGAGGATCGGGCAGTAATGATGATTGAACAGGTAATCATGAGGACTAAGGTCAGTAGATGAAATAGGTTTGCTTACTAAATTGTGGCAGAGGAAAGCCAGCTGTTTGGTAAAACTGCATATTAGTAGAGCTAGCATCAGCTTACTATAAGCAAATTGGCATTGGTTGGTTGACTTGAAAAACTCTCTGCATTGTCTCTGTGGTGGTCATGCTGCTTCACACTGTGAAGATTGCAAAAGAGATTTTTTCCACTCATGTTCAAAGCTTATTTCTTGGAAGGGGAGGGAAAGTTATTTATTGCCAATAATATCAGCAAAAAAAGAAGCCTATTAATAATCATCAACAATTAAGATTTCATTGTGTGGAACAGTGTTTTCATCAATGAGGGGAGCAGTGGCCAAATAGCAAACATCCTAGCTGGCTATGAGATAATACATAGTAAGTTGCACTTACAAATGATGCTAAATAATATAGTCTAAAGTCACATTGTAGTCATTGTTAGGAGTTATTGCATCTAATTCTGTTGTGGTGCCTCAGCACCTGAACCAAAGTGGTATTGCCAGCTGATTGTTAGTTGGCTAAAAGAAGTTTCAGCTATACGCCATTTTGGGATATTCACGGAAATTCAGATGTACCTAAAATCAGCACTGGAAAGCTGCTGGTGAGTTATGGCTATTGTTAAGATAAAGAAAAGTGAAGATTTTTTTTTGTCTAGTTTTAATGCTTTTCCATGCAAGCTTACTCTGCTTAAATATTATTTTTAGAAAAGCACTTGTACCGCCTCTAACTTTGGCTAATTCTGAGTGGACTAGTAATTTTTTATATTTTGTAGCAATTACTGGTTATTGCACAAAGGATGTGTAATGATTGGTTTCTAAATAAATGCTGTTCTTTATTTAAGAAAGTATAACATAATGACATTATGTTATGTTATGTTATACACTGAGGAACATACTGTAAAGATCCATGAGGAGCATGAACAGCGCTTTGTATTCAGTTATTTTGGATGTATTCATGTCAAGATCAACCAAAGTTCTACAGTCACTTTGAATAACAGTAATACTGCAGAATGTTGTGTAAGATATATGAAGATACACTATTCCTGTAGATATCTTGTTGTTAGTACCAAGTTCTATGATCTGCATTCTGTTATGTTTAGTAAGATGTATAAATAGGAATATCATAAAAATGAACTGTATAACAATTAGTTCTTTTCTTTACATAGGCTAAAAGGGGAAAGCAGGAGGATAACGTGAAGAAAAAGAGGTCTCTTCTGGTAAATGCAGGTCTTGCACTAGCTCCTGATTCGTTTCAAGTAGTTCTTGATAGTGAAAATGAAGCTAAAGGTAATGTGTGACTAAAACACGTATGTATGACTAAAAGTTACTGCACTTGACTTTGACTGCTTTCCGCAATGCTAAAGGTTGGACATAACATGTAGCGGCAACATGTAGATAATATTGCGATATAGATGACGTGACGGTTCTTCTGAATTCTGTGGCAAAGCTCCTATTGATTTCATTAGGGATCTAAGTTGTATATTGTGATACTAGAAGGGGAAATGTTTTGGGGTTTTTTTTTCTGCTATGAATTCATCTGAATTTTATTGTTGTGCTGTAGTGTGCTGTAAGTTATGCCGTAATTTTATTTTCACTATGTGCAACTCCTGAATGTTCTTGCCCACGGTCATTTTTAAGTGGTATTTTCAGAAGTTTCACCCCCTAATATTCTGTGTTAGTTACATACAATATTGAGCATTCATTCTATATTGTAATTGTCACTCTGTTCTAAAATCTTATTTTGAGAGATCCGAGTTTTGCACAGAGATTTATGCATGAATTCTTCATTTACTTTCTAAAATATGGATCATAAATAGGCATGTTCCTTATGCCACAAATAGCTTCAGTTGTTGAAGAAGAGTAGACAGGGAACGGATTTCCCAGATTGCTTGAACTGTTTTATCTTACCTTGGCAACAAAGCAAGTGTGTGACTAATTTAAGTGACTTTCTGAGTATACTCAGTGTACTCCCAGGGTAGAGATTGTCCTGGAGGAAGGGAATGCTACAGAGTCCTCTGTTTCCAGAACAGTCTGTTTGTGCTGTGGAAGGCCATGCAGTTCTCTCATGCCATCTATTGAGCCAGGCTAAACTGTTTACCTTGCATATTCTCATTTCAAACTTGACCAAGTGATGACTTACAAGTAAGAATGTTGTTTACAGAATCAACAGTCCCACTTCGTGCAGTACGTTTAAGTATATGAAAATTATTTTGTTGGAAAACATTTTCATGCATGATTTAAGGTGATAAAGTGCATTGCATTTGTGCAATGAACAGAATTAAAAGTATGCATCAATTTCTACTTGCTCTTGAATTTTGAGCTAACAACTGTAAAATTATATCCCAGCTTCCTCAGAGTAAACATTACTACACATTAGCCTTCCAAGATAAGCCATTAAAAAGAGTAAGATTAATGGAATTATTACAGTATGTTCTATCTGCTTAACACAACGTTTTGTGAAATTTTTTTTTATATTTCAGTTGTTCTTGAGGTTGTTGTCTAGCAAGTTTTTTGCTTTTTCCATGACACTAATGTTAAAACAAACTTAAACATGTTTATTGAAGGAGTAAGTAAATATATATGCAACAGTATTATTAAAATATACATAGGACAGGACATCAGATTTGTAGGGTTATTTTTTCTTTTAAGTTGTATAAATAACTGTGCATCAACATATCATTCTTCTTTCGTGTCTATGCTGGCCTATTTTAGTGAGAGTTGTACGCACAGGTCCAGAGAACAATGTACTTTTTTAATCCACAATTCCTTACCATACAACCTTACCTCATGTTACTGCTATTACGTATGATACTGAAGAATTTCTGTCAGTTGATCTATGTGTATAGTTAGGTAAGACAACCTTATCATATGCTGGATAACGCATTGCAAAATATTTGTTTTTGGAGGATCAAATTAAAAGTTACTCAGACTGCATTATGTTAGGGACCGTCACTTAGATTCAAGTGAATGTACAAACCCATTGGATTTCCCAGTCACATCAAGTTACTTGTATTCTAATGCAAAGCATTTCGTCCATGTCATATAGTAATCTCTTTTTGATGTATCTGTACCACTGGAGTAATTTTCTACCTCATGGGGCCAGCTTGTTCTTCCCTTGCATCGTTTTTCTTTGTTCCTTATTTCTTTGCATAATATTTTTGCCCAGTATCTTGTTGAGTAAGTAAAAAAGTCAACATTCTCAAATTAAACCAAAACAACAGACTTGAATATTGACTGAAAATGTGTCTGATTAGATAAGTTTTCTTAAAATTCAGCATGAATGTGAACTTTGCATATGACTATCCATTTACGCTTGACTGAGGCCGAGTAATGCATGTCCTGCAGAAAAGAGTTGTACTGGAGATATTTGGTGGACAAACAAGCATAAATTGTTTTTTGTGTGGGACAGCTATATCTGAAGATACGGGAAAAACAGAATAGATGCTGATGGGTTGTGGTTTTTCTCGTGATGGTTGGGTGGGGCTGAAAAAAGGGCTGGATTTCAAGTGTTTAAGAAAGTAGTTATCAATCAAATTGCATACCCTTCATGTGGATTTTTTTCATCTCTAACACTTAAATTACCTTAAATTCTTTTTTCTTTGTTAAGTTTCCTCAGGTAAAAGTAGGAGTCAAATAAGCTACCTCTGTGCAAAAGCACAACATCATATTAAAAGCGTGGAGAAAGTTGTTGAACATTTGAAACACTTAAGAAATGAAAATTACAGAGAGAGGTAATTACTGTAGTCAAGAAGTCTCTCTTTCGTCTGGTATAGAAGTCTCTAAGGGGAGAGTTTCTTACTGCAGCTGTTAAGTTACTTGATGACACCTTGTAAAAGGCTGAATAATTCAGTCAGGCCTGGCAAAGCATTTAAGCATATGTTTTTGTCGAAAAGTTGCATTATATTCACATGCTGTGCATAATTGTATTCTTTTGCGGTTTCTAATCTGCTCTCTCACATGCACCTATAAACTCACCTGTTGTATTGATACGAACTGAACACACAGAAGAACGAGTGGATTAAGGCTGGAAGACTGAATACTTGATGTACAATTGGAACTGCTGAACTGTCTTTTTAGGTCCTTGCACCACATTGCATGCTACAACCTTTTTGACAAAGCAATGAGTTAGTCCATTCTGAGAGACAGTAAGATTAATCTGTAGGAAAATCACAGGTTTTGTTCTGACTATTTGTATATCATTTCATCATCCTTTATTTAAAAGGATGTGTTTCCTTCTTTTCTTGTGCACTAAAAATTGCTGAGATGAAGTTTGAACTGAATTGTTTTCTAAAAAATTCTAAATCCAAACTTGTTTTCAAGACTTATTTTGAAATTCTTAACATCAGTTTTGAAATATTTTGTTTAGTTTATATTATAAGATAGATAATTAGGGGTGTCACACACATTTTGAAATGTCAGTATAGTTACTATCCAAAACAAGAATTTTGTTCCACTCTTAATATGCTGAAGGTATTTTTCTTAATTAATAAAGTAATAGTGTTATCTTTGCTACTGATAAGAAGTCTTCCATTTATTAGTTTTTGTTAGATTTAAAATTTTATTTGTGATGGCCGTCATTACTGACATGATTCTTTTGTCGATCATGACGCATGGAAGATAATCCTGCTTACAGAGTAATTTTGTGTATGCCTTTTCTTTGGCAGAATTGTACTTTGGGCAGATTTGGCAAAAGTTGCATGTAAACAAGAAGTATGGGATGTCTGCCGTGCAGCATGCAGATTTTGTCTCTTGTTTGATGATACTTTGTTTAGGAAGGTAACAAAGCCTAAAAAAAGTAAGTGAACAAACTATTTTGAATGTTGTAAGAGGAAATTTTTCCTCATTTATTAGAGTTACTTGAAGGAGTCAACCAATATTATTATTTTCTTCCTTGCCATTCCCAGAGTTCCCTGAGACTCTTGTCTATCACTGCACGTTGGCATACATGGAATATTCTTTCTACCTCTGAATCTAGAAATCAGTCAATACATTTTTCTTTCAAAACCATACTTTGCCTTCAGAAGTGTTTCACCAGTGCTAAAGAGAAGTACTTACATGAAATGTATCTATCTAAGAAAACAGGTTCATTCCCTAATGGTCATCTAGGTCTATATTATCTGTCTCTGTCATACTTAATGACCTGAGGAAGTTGAAGAAAAACAGATTATCAGTCACTTTGTATGAGGCTCATGTGGTGATATATTTTACACTTTATTCGCTTATTATTAGTGGTTCCCCGGAGGTATCCGACATTGTGCCTTGTTTCTTGAGCATCTGCTGAAAACCTACCACACGCATTAAAAGAGTTCTCAACTCAGGGAAAGAACACTTTCAAACCACTAGCTGCTTGCTGACTTTCATATATCTCTGTTAGTTTGTAAAGCTCACCTTTAAGAATAGATTAAATTCTAGTGCATACCCTGTTGGCTGTTTTTTTTTCCTCTAGCCAATGTTAATTGAACCTATTCCACATTTTCTCTCCAGATTGTTTCCAAGGTCCACTTAAAATAAGACATTAATATACCTGTTCTCTTTCACAAGTTTTGCATCTCCAGACTAGCTGTGTTTCGTTTTTCATCTGTTTTCCAAACCAAAGGGAAAAAGAAGTATTTACCAGAAACTAAAGGCAACCATGCACCAAAAGCATCATGAATAGGAACTGGTGGGTTCTTTTTCTGCTTCACAAGTTTTGCATCTGCAAGGTAAAGGTGTCTTTCTCATACTCTGAATGTTCAGAGGGCCGTATAATTCTATCTGTGTTAGTCTAAACACTTTTCCTGGGTATGCAGGAGTTCAAGACACTTTTCGTCTCTCGTCAGAAGTGTGTCATGTGGTTCGATCAAAGTTTGTTCTGAGGTTGCTGAAGTCGGTTATGCTTTCAGAGGTAGAACTTCACTAAAAATCAAACAATAGCTGTGACCTCACTGAAGGTTTCCATTCTCAAGAACTGTAGAGTGGCCTCCTGGAAACCCATTCATACTTTCAGTGAGTGCTGTGTGTTTCTGTAAATGTGAAGGAAAAAACACCTCATTTGGTGGAGCAGTTGAGGTAATCTATTCCAGGCAGTTTCTAACTGTGGGAATACTACCTGTAGTTAAGTGAAATGTGAAGAAGCTTATAGATACTCAAGGCTGGAAGATAAATTTATGTTCGACTGGAGTTCTCCAAGAACTGTTGACACCATTGATTTTCATGTTACACTTAATTTTTCTTTACTACTACGAATTCTAGGATTAATTTGAGAGAAAAGGGAAAGGTTGTCTTTGTATCATATTGAGGACAGGGAAAAGTTAATTGTTGTGGTGTGAAGACCCTCTAGAGAGGGCTGCTGAGTTGTCAGGAAGGCCTATATAAATACAAATAATTCTAGATGTTCTAGAGTTACAGAAAAAGAACACACCAGTTCCTGTTAATTATCCTTTTGGTGCGTGGTTGTCATGAGTTTCTGGTAAGTACTTCTTTTTCCCTTTGGTTTGGAAAAGAGATGAAAGATGAAACATGGCTAGTCTGGAGAAATTAAATATGTGTGATTGGTCTAGGAACCAGTAGCAATCCAGTCAAATTATCAGACTGTCTTAAGAAAAAAAACCCATTACTTTTAAACAGAAATTAAAAGGTTATTTTGGAATATCAAAGTATGGTTTAAAAAATTAAACAGACTACTCAGATTTATCGAAGGGTATTGAACTTGATGGGTCAAACAGAACCCAGGTTCAGGACATTGCTTGGATACAGATTCTGAAAAACTGAGAAGATAGGCCAGGAAAAAAAGCAGCTTTGTGTATCCTACTTCTTACGCCTTTCCTCAAACACCCACTACTGGCCGGTGATGGAGAGGGAACCCACTGTGACTGCTTTCATGCTCTTACTTTGTGTTGATATTAAAAGAATCTTGGTCATTTTTCTTCATTATTAAACCAAAGAATAATAATGCTGTTTTTCTCTGTATTGATGTTTATGTTGCCAGAAAGTCAAACCCATCTATGATTTAAAACAAACTGAGATTTTAGCCACTAGATCATGTCCAGCATTCCTCTTCCACTGAAGCAGTAAAACTGAATGAGAGCCCATGGGTTATATTCATATTAATGTAATTTCAGTATCCATGTAATGACTGGAGCAAGTTATTTACTGCAAATATTGCAGTTTATGCACAAATACAGCAAAATCACAGGTATATACCTGAGCACTGCTGGAGAAGAACGGGTTTTGAGTGCAGTAAATTGTACTGGTGAAAAAAAACTTTGAGAGAAATAATTTAAAATCTGTACTTGTTAACTTTTTCTTGTGGATTTAAGAATGTGTAGGGATTTTGAAATTTTCAAATAAAGGGTGTTTATTTCTGATTTGCATGGTAATAATAATGGATTTGATTGTTTATTTGTTTATAGCACAGAAGAAGACAGCTAGCACAACTATGATGGATGGTGATCAAGGTGACAGCTTACCAGGAGAATCATTACTACCTGCTAAATCCTTCTCTTTTGAAAGAGATTTACTCAGAATATTAGCAGAAATAAGGTTCATTAATGCAGAGGTAAATAAATTACACAGCTGTCATTCATATTTGTTTCATTTAGCTATGTTTTATGTATAATTCTTTGTCTAAATCTTATAGCGCTGGAATTTTAATTTTAATTATTGTCCATCTCTCCTGGAACTTAAGGAAGAAGTAGTTTTATGAAGCATCTGTATCAAAATACTGTGTCAAAGTAACTACAGCAATAGTCTCACTGCAGGTGGTGATAACACTTTTTTACCAGGGATTCTATTATAAATGCTTGACATGTGACGTATTTTTATGATGTTTTTTACATTGTATTTCATATAGTTTTACGTGCCAGTACAACATCTGAAAAAGCATTTTGTATTTTGTAATTTTTTGAAAAGGTAACAACACTAATACTAAGTCGCAGTCTACTTTCACAATGATAACCTGGGTAGAAAATTCATTTCTCTGTATCTTTCCAGGCAACTGTTCATTTATTAAGACTGCAGGGAGTTGAACTGAATGATCATGCTGTATCTCCAGAAGATACAAGCCAGTATTCTCCAGGATATGATTCAGAATGGAAAACATACAGGTGCTTTTCTTTAAAGTGTAACAAGACCTGGGAACTCTTACCAGATTATTATTATCACACACAGATGATAATTGGAAAAGTTATTTCATCTTAGTAAAATTCGTTGTCACGAGATGCTTCATAATTTTTAGGTAGTCATGGTAATGGGAAAAGGAAAAGAATCTAAAAAAATAGTTTGAAATAGTTTTTCTGTAGTTCGCTTTCATTCTGGAGTGTGCATTTTATTTTTCATTTTACATTTATTTTTCTGAAACCAGAAGCTCGTATCCCAACTGTACAAACTAGTAAATCTGTGTTATATTGACATTTAGACCATAAAATTCTATTTTTAAAAATACGTTTCCCTAAATCAAAAAACTCTTTGTCTTGCTCTGTAGCTCTGTCACGAATAGGACTTTGTTATGTAGCTGTGGTTTAGCAGCAATTTAGGATTTATTAATATTTTTGAGGTAGATCACAAGATTACGTATTATTTACAGCACTTAATCAGCCAATTTAACAGAGTGATTCAGTGGAATGTGTTACAATCAAAACAGTGACTTAATTAAAGATTCGAAAATGGCAGGAATCATCCAAAACTTACAGCAGTGTTGCACACACAGATGAAGTTTAAATAAAATCACACGTACGGGCAGACTAATGGTTCTGAATCAAATTGCACACAGACAGGCAAATGATTCTGGACCAAACTGCGCACACACAGAGGTTAACCTGTAATTAAAATTTTGCTTTTCGTGAGTTTCATGGTTTACTCACTTTTACGTGCTGGCATTCATCAACGGGCAGTCAGTGAACCTCGCAAAATCAGGCCTTTGAGTCCTCACACAATCATCGATGGATGATCTTTCAGTCCTCACACAGTCTACCCTGTGAGGCGTTCCAGCTGAGGGGAACGTGTGGGGTCATACAGCCCCCTCCAGTCCTAGAGAGCTCAAAGGTCTCACTTACTGATCGCTATTTGTAGGAACTCAAGATGATTGACTTTGTTCAATACTTTAGTTTCTGGCCACAACTGGTGCTGAGTCATTCTGGTAGACAATTCAGGCAGCAGACAGCCTAGGTGTGACCAGGGAGTGCCTGGCCACCCCAGCTCCAGGCTGCTACACTTGTAATGAAGATAACAGTACAATGGGAGGTTTTGCCAAAGCGTGCATGGCTTATCCTGGTGTGTCATTTGGGCAGTAGATGGCCTAGGTGTGGTTGCACCACCACAAACTCCTGTAACTATGATGATGTCTGAGCACCCGAATACATAAAATGAATTACTTCAGTTTGCAAAGCTAGTCTGTTCCATCCAATCAAATGAAATGAATAAGGGAGAGTAGAACATAGCAAGTATTGTGTTTTTTTTCTCCTGTGATTATTTCTTGCGAAGGAGGAGAGAGGGGAGAGTACTGAAGGTGATACTTCAACTCTCCTCTTTTCACATTCATGCTAATATTAGCCTTGTTGTGACAGTGGTCATGTCCTGAAAGAGTAGGGTGTTATGTCCCTGAGGCTGTTCGTTAAGTCTGAAGATTAGGTAAAGTTTCTCACACTGTCTGCTTGCGAATGTCCTTAAAATGGGAAAAAGTATAAACTGATCAGAACCAAGGGACAAGGAAGATGAGGATTCTGTTCCAAAATTTGCGACTAAGCTGTTTCTGAGTTTACCCAATGAGATTAAATACTTAGGGGAAAAAAAAAATGCTTGGGTCTACTGTGTCCTGTACCATTGTTGACATAGTAATACCCTGTGTCAGTTTGTGCTTTTGGTTTTGTGGCCTGACCATGGCCATTCTGTATTGTTACTCAAGACTGTATTTTTAATAATGTATTTTCTAAGTAATGGTACATCTCGATAATTTAGGGGAAAAAAAAAGTAAATAAGTAAAGCTATTGAAAGAAAGTTATTGCATAGACTATGAAAAAGATGTTATTGTATTAAAAATGAATTTAGCATTTCAGAACATCTGGAGGTATCTTTGAGTGCAAGAACACATGCAGTTGTTAAGTGAAAAAGACGCCTCCTTAACACTTGAGTGGAAGCCTTACTTGTATCTGTATTCAGGTAGAGCTCTGGCATTGGTATTTAATGATTTCTAGCACAGATGTGTGGATTGACACGTGCATTTTAAAAAAACGTGAGGATGAAGCATGAACTGTAGTCACTCTTTTTTAAGCTAATAGCATTTGAGTGTCAGAGACTATTCATTTTATGTTGATACTAATTCCGTTCCTGAGTCATCTCCTCATCCAGGTCAAATATAAGTTAATGGATGAAGGCTTAATAAATGCAACTGAAAAGTAATTAGAATTTTGTTGCGGTTGTTGATTGAGATGTGCTACTGCATGTTTAACCTTATAATTCCTCTATGTTGAAGTTTTGGAATAACAGCTTCTTTATATTAATTTTATAGTTTATGGATAGACTACTTATCTCAGTATGCTATGGAAAACTTCCAACGTGCAGCTGAAATAGGAGAAGAATTGAATGAAGCCTGGATTGTTCACAATGCTGTAGTGTATATCTTAAACTACAATAGACATCTTATCTCTTCAGGAAGACAGAGGGAAATTACTGAGCATCTGCAGACTCTTCTTGGAGCCATTAAGACTGTTGGGCACAATGGGTAAATTTAGTTGTTTTGTTATGAGCATGCTCTTTTTTTCTGAAACAAAAAAATATTTTTGCAAACACTGTAAGTCACTTTGTGCTGTGAAATGCTCTCATTGCTGGCTTTTAGTGGTAGGAGGAACAGTTTGGTATACACAGAGTAGTTCAGATAAATTTAATTTTGTGGTGTGAAAATGACTTTTTAGTTCTTTCTGTTTGTTACTATTCACTGTAAGCCATGTTAACTTTAGACTAAGCAGTATTAGTTTCTTTTTATTGTGGAGTGGCAACATGCAAATGGGAAAGAGCATTTTGTTAAGCTAGTTAGAAAGAATCAGGAAAATTTTCTTAGCCTGTGAGTTTGCAGGACAACTTGAAATGTGTTTGCTTGCTGTCAATTGCTCTGAAATTAAATTGTATTGTAAATGTTCCTAATCAGAGTAAGGTGGTTATTACTTGTTCTGAAATATAAAAGAGAACAAAGAAAATAAAGCAAATGTGCACATTAATAGACCATGAAAATGCAGGTTCCACAGTGGTGTAGAGAAATCCTGTTCTGTAGTAAAAGCAGTGGGAAAATGATGGACTGGGAGATAGTCAAGTCACAGTCTGACTGTGGGACAAAATCCTAGAAATTTTAGCACGTTACTGGCAGTGACCTCAGCACTAGGCCAACTGCTTAGGACCATCAGCAAAGGCGGCTCTTTTAACAGTACTGGAGAGCAAAGCCTAAGTGCAGTTTGTAGAGAGATCATAGAGTCATAGAACAGTTTGGGTAGGAAGGGACCTTTAAGTGTCATCCAGTCCAACTCCCCTGCAATGAGCAGGGACGTCTTCAACTGGATCAGGTTGCTCAGAGCCCCGTCCAGCCTGGCCTTGAATGTGTCCAGGGATGGGGCATCTCCCACCTGTCTGGGCAACCTGTGCCAGTGCCTCACCACCCTCATTATAGAAAAATTCTTCCTAATATCCAGTCTAAACCTATCCTCTTTTAGTTTAAAACCATTACCTCTTGTCCTGTAGCAACAGGCACTGCTAAAAAGTTTGCCCTATCTTTCTTATAAGCTCCCCTTAATTAATGAAAGGCTGCAATAAGGTCTCCCCAGAGCCTTCTCTTCTCCTGATGAAAAATGGTAATACCTGCTTATTAATTCTGATATTTATATTGGCATGTATCAGCAATAATCTCTTAGTCACAATTAAGTTTGTGTTTTCTCAAAAAAAAAAAAGGTAATTCCAGCTCAGTAGTTTTTTGGCGTGAAGAGTAATATGGTGTAATAAATAAGTGGTTTTATGTGAGAGGCTTGGCTTAGATGCATTTTTTTAGGAAATAGTTATTATTTTCATGTGTAGCAGCCCACTAATAAAAAATGATATTTTAAATGTGTGTGTCTGACTGTTTTTTTTTCTGTGACCACATAGGACCTTCAATTATAGAAAGAGCTGAAAGAATGTGATGTGAGCTATGAGAGTTGGTTGTGGTTTTTTGTACATTTAACCATTGTAACTGCTTTTCCAGTGGGAAAATATTTTGTAACATCCGTAATTTTGCTTTCTAAGAAAAACCTAGATTTCTCAAATGATCTTTATTACTTGAAAGAAATAAACTTTATTATTTCTTCTTATTTTGATCTGTTGCAGTATGCACTGCTCATTTTTGTTTTCTTCTACAGAAACACTGTGATTTTATTGATGTTGTGTAATGCTTTGGCTCGGGGCTTGATGCTTTGTTGGATTCCAAAGGCAAAACTTGCTGAGAAGAAAAAAAAAGATGGAGCAACAGACAGAAGCAGAAAAGCTGCAGCACAGAAACATGAAAAAGCAAACGTCATCCCGTCTTTTTCAGTAGATCCCAGTGGACTTCCTGATATCAAAGCTGCCTTAGAGGTACAAAGCCCTCATTTTTTGTAGTCTTTTTTGGTCTGCTGTCATATATTACAATTCATATAAATTAAATTGTAGAAATTTTTTCAGAACAATAAGCTACCATCTTTTACAGTTCCTGCCACCACGTGTCTTTACGAAATGATCACTGAAGTTCCTTACCAACTGGGGCTGAGGACTGTGACTTCTATTTGCTATATGAATTGATGTAATGGAGATATTGTTAGGCTTAGAGATGCATGTGCAATAATATTAAAATAACTAGTAGATAGCATGTTCCATACAAAGAGCTTTCCACATTTCTCCTGTGTTTCAGTAATTTTTTCTTCTTGGTGTTTAGATTTGTGAATTTGCCCTAAGTGTGACAACTGAAACCGTACCTGGTGAAACAGTATGTATTGCTGCACAACAACAGATCATTGCTACGTGGGTGAAAGCAAAACAGTTAAATCAGCAGCAGATCGGACATAAACTTGGGATTGAGGAGGAGGTATTATTTCTCCGAAATCATGCACAATGTTGAAACTTTTTTTTTGAAAAATTAAAAAATTAATACATTCAATTAATAGTGACAAATTATCAATATGTATTTTCTTCTATGCATTTGAATACAATGTGAAAATAAATTTTGGCTGAAGTTATCATAAATCTTTATGGAATACAGCATATTTTTCACATAGGGCATAGCAGTGAGTCTACATTTCTTAACTCTGCCTGCTATTTTTGGCTGCCAATAATAATTATGGTGATGTCTGTCATATGATGACTCTATAACAAAGTTGGTTTTGAATTCATACATTTAAAATAATAAAATGGCTGTATTAAAAATGTTAAGAAAAATCAGCTATATTCGTATCAACATTTAGTATGGTCTCTTTATATATAGAATATGGACCTAGTAAGTTGGAAATTAATATTTTGTTCCTATCTTTTTATTTTATTCTGTTTATAAAATTGGAATTTCTTAGTGATATATGGAATTTACATTCATTGTATTGTTGCTGTGGTTTTTTAATGTTGAAACTGTAATAGTTCAGAGTTCACAATGTAATTAAAAATAAATACATAAAATCCCTCATTTTAAGGACACAATAAAGGAAGGAAGACTTCCTTAATGCAAATGGAGGTTTTCAAACATAGGTATTATTACCTTGTCATCTAAATTAATGTTCTTAAAAATGTTTACCTGCAAAAAAAAAAATCTGTTAAATTGAATTTTTTATTTCTGCTTAGAATAATAATGAAGCACAAAATCCTATGGCAAGAATTCTTGTTGGTCTAGAAATGTATTCATGTAACAGCTTGGGCCTCATGGATTTCACTCTTCCTAGCTTATCGCAGGTATTTAGTTTTGTTATATTACTTCTTGAGTTTTCAGAAATTGCATAGTGTAAATGTGATTTCAGTTTTGGATGGGGGCAAAATTAATTTTGAAACTTCTATTGTACCGTTATTTCCTTTAAAACTTTCCAAGAGATTGAATAGTTATAAAGGTAGAAGATTTTTGTGACTGAATATTTTCATTTATCCAAAACCCAGATAGCATTAGAATACCAGTATTAGAATTATTCCCATGTTGCTTTGGAGCGCGGACACTGTAAAATATGCAGCCAATTTCAGAAAAATGCAGTTACTTAGAAGAACTTATCTGTAAGGAAGATTCACTAAAAGAGAATTGGTTCTGTTTTAACCACAGCTGGGACAGATATATTTCCCCATTTAGCTAGGAACCTGGTCACATTGCCTAGCTCTTTTGTAGAAGTCCTTCTTTCTAGAGACTGGGATCTGGGTCCTTATAAATATATAGGTATCTAACTCTAGTTTGTCTACAGATTTATGTGAAATATTATGAGTTAGCTTTCGCTGTTGCTTCACTGGCTTAGTTTTGGAGAGGAGTATTGTAGTATCCTCATTTTGACCAATATATTAACAACTCCCATTGTCTTAAAGAGATGGCACTTCCTGACTGACGCGTGCAGAAGCAGGGAAGACGTTTAGATCCTATAATGAAACTACATATGAAACACTGTTGCTGTAAAACCAGTTCTATCTCCCATTCTTACCTTTGGCATAGCTAATGGGCTCTGAATTTTGAAAGTCCTGTAGCGCTGTTTTTCAGAAGAGGACTGAGGACACGTAATAAGTCTGGGCAGCTACTGCTGATCAAAAGACGTGCACGCTTAAAGCTGGATTTACGTACTCTATTATAATACTTACTACAGGGTGAACGATGCTTCTCTTTTGTATATTTTGATTGTTCTTTTAACTCTTTGGTTTTCTGAATTGCTTTATCATGTACTTGTTCTACATCGTGGTGGGTTGTATGGAAGGCACAGCTGTAAGCATGTAAGTGCTATAGAAAAGAGTGTGATGGAAACCTGAGATTTAAACTCTGTTTTGTCTTTTTTATTTTTTGTTTCCAGTTAGTGAAATTGGCTTTAGAATGCAGTTGGTCAGATTCCTTAGTGGAACTGCAGACACTAACACGACTTACATATTTTGCTTATGTATCACATGACTATGAAATAGTGATGACTTGTTCCAAAAGGATCTTGCAATCAGATGAGAATCTTTTCCACAATAGAGATATTAAGAAATATGAAATGTAAGTACATGGAATTTTGCATGGTACTGTGGTATACTTGAACTAAGTTTTGAAGAAGGATATAGGGTAAATGCATCTGATCACATAACTAAAAATTAAAGAATCTTTTTCACAAAGAAACTGTCCGGTTAGAGATGAAAGCAGAATTTTCCTACTTCTGCTGATTCTGTTGTTAGCAGTTAACGTAAGTACTGCAGATGATGTTTAGATCTGCAGCGTAGCCTGAGTAAAAGGCAGTGAGAGATCCAGATTGTGGCTCTGGACCCAGTTCAGGAAGATAGATGAATTTTTTTGATCTAAGTGAGTCAATGGGTCATGTATACATGCGTTTGAGTGTCTTATTGGGGAGCACTGCTTTTCTGAAATGGTCTCTGGCAATCATGGTCTTTTCACACTTTTACGATTTCGAAGCAGAAAGTACCTTATTCTAGTTGTTCTGCTGATGCAAATTGCTTCCAATGCTGAGCTGGCTCTAATACATAAAGGGTCTACACAGTTCATGGAACAAGATGAAGCTGTGAGAGATAATAGGTGACAGCAGCTTCTATATTCCGAGCTCTGCTTACGGTCTTTATTACCACCTATGCATATGGGTGCAAAAGGACTGTAACTCATTTCTTTGAAGGCCAGTGTCTGACTTAACTGTTAATTTAAAACTGTGATCTCAAAGAAGAAAAAGAAAAAAAAGGTTTCATATATAAACAGATCTGTTGATCGAGTTCTTTATAATGAAAAGGTGATATCCTTTGATCCTTCTGGTTTTTTTTTGTATAATTATCTCCAACAACAGAATGTAAATTTATCAGAATGGAAAAGAATCAAGTCCATTTAATAACAATTTTTTGGAATATAGGAAGTTTGAAATAAACATGTGAAAAACTTGGAATAGAATTTATTGTTCATTTTTGTCTCTGAAGAATAATTTCCCTTTTAAAAAAATATTCTGCTCCAGTTCATGGTTGTTTGCTGCATGGGGAAAAAACATGTATAACCAAATAAGGTATCTTAATATGAAATGTATAGTTTCAGAACGTTACAGAAATTGAGAAAATACTTGCTGCATATCTAGCAATCTGCAAACTAATGAATGAGGAAATGTTTGATTCTTTGACGAAGAACTGTAGTCGTGGACTGTCAATGCTGTTTCCAGAGAAATGGAAGATAAACTTAGTCTTCCCATGGTAAAGCATTTGGGCTAATACTTTGTTTGATGTACAATAGTGAATAATTGGGAGAACACCCCAAATATGTTTTCTCCCCATGCTAAACGTAGATAATATTTTTTAAAAATCTGATTTCACAGTTATTTTCATTAGGCCTGTGAAAAACTTACTTTATTTCTGATATCTTTTCACAAAATGTTCAATTTTTCAAATATTTTCTGATTTTAAAAGAGAAGTCAGTAGAACCATTTGTAACTTCCAAAGCTAGGGACATCTATTTAGTAACAACTTGAAAGTATCATTAATAGGAACTGGTATGTTCTTAGACCGTAAGACTAGCACTGCTTGAATTATTTGCCTTTATTCAGGCCTGGTAACAGAGTGAGACAAGAAATGTTAAGCACTGCTGCCTGTATACAAGGAAAGAGTATAACGGAACATTTGTCTGGAACAAAAGACTCGCGGGTAGCAGCATCAAAAGCCTTTGTTCAGAGTGCCAGGTATGTTTTGTTTTGAGAGAAGACTAATATAAAACAGACCTAAAATTTTATTTACAGGTTTGAGGAGCAACATCTTCTCTCTTAAGACTGATAAAAATCAAAGTATTTGCAAGTTGAAATGCTTAACAAAGGATTTGACAGATTTTTACGGCTTAGTAAATTTATCAAGTACCATATCTTCCACATAGCTGATCTTGTAACGTCATAGGATCATAGGAAAATCTGGCTGGAAGGGACCTCAGAAGGGCTCTAGTCTAAGCTTCTGCTCAAAGCAGGGGCCAGTCCAAGGTTTTATCCAATCTGGTCTTGAAAACCTGCAGGAATGGAGACTGCACAACATCTGTGAGTAACCTGCTTGACTGCTTGACTGTACTCATGGGGGAAAGGTTTCTGCTTATATCCACTCTGAGCCTTGCTTATTTCAATTTATGCCTGTTCTTGCTTGTACTGCCATCCACTGTGAAGAGCCTGGCTGCTGCTTCTCAGTAACTTTGTTAGGTTATTAAAAAGCTGCTCATTAGGTCCCCCAAAGCCAACTCTTCTCCACACTGAACTAGCGGTGTACTCTCAGCCTCCTCTCTCGAGGCAAGTGCTCCAGTCCCTGGATCATCTTGGTGGCCCTCCACTGAGTTCGTTGAAGTTTGTCCATGTCTGGTTTATGCTGGGTGGGTTATAACTGGATGCAGTAGTCTAGATGTGGTCTAAAGAGTGCTGACTAGAGGGTGATAATCGATTCCCTCAGTCTAATCTGTTCTTGTTAATACAGCCCAGGATGCTGTTGGCTGTTGTTGCCAGAGCACACTGCTGGCTGGTTTTCGGCTTGCTGTCCACCAAGACCCCCATGTCCTTTTCAGTAGAACTACCCCTCAGCCAGTCAGTCCTCAACCTCTACTGTTGCAGAGCATCATATTAATATTATGAACTGTATGTCATGAACCCAAAGTGGAAAGATTGCTTTAAATAATGAATAGGCAGGAGAAGGTGGTACATGTATGATGGATGACTTCAGTATGAATTCTTTGCAATTTGGAAGAAATAAATTAATGAGCAAAATTATGCAATTAGACCTCTTAAAAGATGAACATGTGATGGCTGATGTGAGGCTGTTAATGTTATAGTACTTTCTTCCTTCCATTGATCGTTAAAAGAGTGATGCGTAAAGTTAGACTAGCCAGTGTAACAGAACTCTAAAGTGATGTCATGTTGTGGATAAATGTGTATATTTTTAAATGCGTGTGTTATGAAAGCACTTTTTCAGGAAGGAGTGAGCATATATATGTAGCTCAACATGTTCCAAAAGGGAGACAGAAAGTCTTCAGCAAAAAACAGGCCTTAATACATCTAGTGTTAAGACAGAAGGTATGTGAGCATATGGACTCTAAAAATCATAAAACTGTGGGAGAAAATGACAAAGGTCACCAGATTCAAAAACTAAAAATAGTGAAACTATTCAATGGGTAATTGTTTAATACCAATCCATAATTTTTAGCTTTTGCTCACTCATATGAGTACTGTGTTTAATCACAATCTGGAGAATTATCAAATCTTGTTAAGTCAAAGTAACATTTGAATGGAATATGCTCAAAACAATTTGAATGCAGCTAGAGGCATTCAGGGTATGTGGTACTTGTCTACTGGTACTTCTGCTGAATGTATGAAGGTGCTTTGTATACAAAAATGGGAAGTGTCTTTTGTATGAAGCTCATATGCTAACCCCTTGTTGCTGAGATTATATGTGGTGTTGCCTAGATGTTTGTAGAAGTAAAATCCTGTATTTTGGCTAGAGTGGGATTGTTTTCCTTCATTAAGCTGCACTTCACTTTCTTCAGGTATGCAGGTGAAGCTGGAAATTATTCCCTTGTAATGCTTGCAGCTAGACACTTTTGGAATATATGTTTACCTTTACTACGTTCTCCACATGACAGAGAGCAGTTTAGAGAACCTACTGAAATAATTCTTAAGAATATAATTAAAGCAGAATCTAAAAATAAACAGGTAAGAATATCTAATAGGCATTGTTAATTGTGCTTGTGTTTAGTGATTGGTACTGATGATAAAGAAGAATTTTGGTTTGCTCTGAAGCTCTGGGTGCATACTTCAAGATACCGTTCCTAAGAGGGGAAGGTGACTTGCTTGTAAACACATATATTGTTTCTTACCTGCATTCGCATAGCACGCATTCACACATACAATCACATACTCTATTTATCCATTCGGTGGTTCTTCTGATTTTAGGCGATTGTCAGACTTGCAACAATTTTCTTCAAAATAATTTGCTGTCTGAAGGCCTGTAGTGTTTCACTTTCTGAAGCTTACAGAAGGGAATGTTTAGGAAATATGTGAAAGAAAATACAGAAGAAAATCTTGTTGCTTTTTGAAAGGATGACAATAGATCTTGAAACACAAACTAAGGAAAAAAAATGTAACTAAATTAAGGTTCCGTACACCTACAGATTCCAATTTCTCTTCTGCCTGCAAAAAGTGGTTATAACTTTGCATATCTTCAATTTTTTGACAGACTATTGAGCACTTTGGCAGTAGGAATCAGTTATAATTCAAACTCTGCTGGGAGTCGGTGATAAAATCATATACTTGTTGATTATGAACAGCATATGTAAACTGAAAAAGTCGTCCCTTTGGAATAATGTGTAGGTGATGTGTATCAAATATCTCGCCATATGAAATTTCTTCTGCACACTGAGACACCCCTACACATTCACAACTTTGCTTACTTCAAAATTCCCCAGAGCTGATCCATTTCTCTTTCTAGATTTGATGTACATGTGAGTGAAGCTCATGTGACTTTTCCTGTGCGTTTCCATAGGCACAGTTTGAGTTAGAGCTTCAAGGGTTTATCAATAACTCATGCATTCAAACTCAGTGGTACCACTATGAGTCTGCATCTCAGATCATCAAGTAGTGTAGTACAAGAATAGGAAACTGAGTTTTTCTTTCTCCTCAAGCCACGTATAAATCGCAGATAATCAAGAGTTGGTGACTGGTTGTCTTTATTCTGGGTGTGTAGGAGACAGCTGATGAGTACATTGTGTACTTAGAAGCACAGTGGAGATTGTAAACTTAATGAAACTTTGACAGTGTTTGGATATAGAACAGTAATTGCCCATAGGCATGGTTCTAAAGGTTTAGTTATTTGCAGAGAAGATATGGTTTTCCAATAAAAAGGAATACTTCATTATTTTGACCTACAGAGGTCCCTTCCAACCCCTACCATTCTGTGATTCTGTGATTCGGTGGTTATGTATTTATGGTTAACTCACGATGACAGCATAGTTTGAGTGAACCCCTATTAAGGTGTATTAAAAAGCAAGACATTAATGTAGATAATGAAAGTGTACAGTTATAGATGTCTGAAAATTTTAGTAATTCTTGTGAGTTAGACTATATAGTAACTTTTGATACTAGTTAGAAAAAAGATATTTCCTGTGAACAGAGCATTCCATATTTGATTTAGGGCTATGAGGATAGTGAGGGGACTGGAACATCTCTCCTACGAGGAGAGGCTGAGGGAACTGGGCTTGTTCAGCCTGAAGAAGAGAAGGCTGCGAGGGGACCTTATAAATGCTTTCAAATACCTGAAGGGTGGGTGTCAGGAGGATGGGGCCAAACTCTTTCCAGTGGTGCCCAGCAACAGGACAAGGGGCAATGGGCACAAACTGAAGCACAGGAAGTTCTGTCTGAACACGAGGAAGAGCTTCTTCCCTCTGAGGGTGACAGAGCACTGGAACAGGCTGCCCAGGGAGGTTGTGGAGTCCCCTTCTCTGGAGATATTCAAGACCCGCCTGGACAAGGTCCTCTGCGGCCTACTGTAGGTGACCCTGCTTCGGCGGGAGGGTTGGACTAGATGACCCACAGAGGTCCCTTCCAACCCCTAACATTCTGTGATTCTGTGATTGTGTGATTTTTTCCAGAGTTACCGAAGAATTTTATGTACTGTAGTAACCATTGTAAGGGGCAGGAACTGGTCTCTAGTGATCCTTGATCAGGCTAATTGTAGGCAATTTTTAAATGCAATTACATCTGGAGAAGCATATACCGGAAGATAATTTAGTTTATTTAGTTCAGCAAGGCAATGGTTCTCTTACTTCATATGTACCAGCCTGAAAACCACCCTTCTCTTCTCCAGGCTGAACAACCCCAACTCCCTCAGCCTTTCCTCACAGGGGAGGTGTTCCAGCCCTCTGACCATTTTCATGGCTCTCCTCTGGACCCGCTCTAGCAGGTCTGTGTGTTTCTGGTACTGAACATCCCAGAACTGGATGTAGGACTCCAGGTGGGGGCTAACTAGAGCAGAGTAGAGGGGCAGAATCAGCTCTGTTGACCTGTGGGCCACACTGCTTTTAATGCAGCCCAGGATATGACTGGCTTTTTGGGCTGCAAGTGCACATTGCCAGCTCACGTCCAGTTTTTCATCCACCAGTTTCCGTAAATCCTTCACTGCAGGGCTGCTCTCAATCCCTTCATCCCCTAGTCCACACTGATACTGCGGATTGCCCTGACCCAGGTGCAGGACCTTGCACTTGGCCTTTTTGAACTCAGGAGATTTGCACAGGCCCACTCATCAAGCCTGTCAGGGTCCCTCTGGATGACATTCTTTTGCTCTAGTGAATAAATGACACCACTCAGCTTGGTGTCATCAGCAAATTTTGCGAGAGTGCACTTAATCCCATTGTCTATGTCACTGATGAAGATATTAAACAGTATTGGTCCCAGTATGGACCCTTGAGGGATGCCACTGATTTCCAGTTGGACATTGAGCCATTGACTGTATTTCTTTGGGTGCGGCCATCCAGCTACTTCCTTATCCATCTAACAGTCCGTCCATCAAACCTATAACTCTACAATTTAGCAGCAAGAAGCTTGTGGGGGACCATATCAAAGGCCTTACAGAAATCCAGATAGATGATGTCCATAGCTTTCCCTGGTCCACTGATGCAGTCACTCCATCGTAGAAGGCCACTAGATGAGTCAGACTTTGTGCCTTCATGGAAATAAATGCTGATTTGACCAAATGTGGTGCTAATGTACTGATTACCCACAGGTTGTAGCTACAGCTCACGTAATTTATTAGCATAGTCCTTTATGTACTCAGCAGTCAGTATATCAGTAGAACTGTATGTGGATCTGTTTGTGAAACAAGAGATTTTTATCTCTGAAGTTGCAAAACTGCTGTAGAGGGAAGGGAAACAGTTATCATGTCTCTCACCTTTGGGTGAGAATTGTGATGGTCAAATTTTCACAGGTAAAGCCAACTAAGCGAAATTGGACAAGAGACAGTAAGGCATCTTTTAAAAATGATCTGAAAGTAGTTTGAAAAAATAGGCTGTTACTCATTTTTTGACCAGAGAGGTTGTGGAGTCTCTGCTTGGAGTACTCAGAAGATGACTGAACAAGGCCCAGAGCAATCTGCTGTGTTTCAGCCTGCTTTGAGCCAGGGGTATAGACAAGAGAGCTCCAGAGGGTCCCTCCCAACCTCAACTAATCTGTGATTCTCTGACAGAGTACTTCAAGATTTCATGTTATTTAATCAGTGTAACTGATTGAACATTACTGAGTCTGATTATTACTCTATTGGTTTTGTGTTATAAACTCATTCTGGAGAAATGGCTGTGGTTTTTATCTCCTACACAAGTAGCTATTGAAGTAACAGGTTAATAGTTTGTATTAACCATATTAATTGGTTTACAAATTAAACAGAAGTACAGTGATACTTAGACATATGCTAACCAAAACATAAACGGTGCTTTTTTCTTTTTTTTTGTTCGTTTTAGGAGAAGAAAGATACATTGCCTTTGCATCAGTGGATCACAAGGGATTTTCAAAGTATTGGGTTGTCAGTTGAATGCTTTCTTCCAGGCATGTTATTCCTTCTTTTGGTCTGGTAATAAAAGAAAAATTGCAGTATTTTCTAATATCATTATTCTAATTCTGCAGTATATTAATAAAACATTTGAATATACTTTGAAGGTGCTGAGGAAGATCTGACGTTAAGAACCTCCTTATATGGGTTATTATTCCACATATATGCTGATAAAGCTGATTGGGAGACAGCACTAAAAGTCCTGGATGAAGCTATTCAAGCTTTGCCTCAGACAAGACACAGGCTGTAAGTTGGTTGACTTATTTTTGTTAAAGTAAGCATCCCGATTCATAAGAAGTATAAAACTCGGAGTAATTTGTGGGTTTTTTTGCATAGGGAAAATACTATTTATTACTTTTTGCCAGCCTGTCAGTTCTTACAGCAGAAAACACTGTTGTGTCTTTTCAGTGAAAGACATACATTCATAGTGCTTCTTGTCTTTAATCTGTTCATAATATTTGTAAATTTCATTTTTTTAGAACTTGTATACAAGTAGTAGCTTAGTTTTCCAAGAAAACAGGCGCATGAAATGTGGCTATATAGCAGAAACTTCAGTTTCCCTAGATGTAAACCCATTTATGTTAAATGGGAACTAGATTATCTAGGGTACTGTTTACATAGTCTTAATCTGAGTTCAAAGATTTATACCCTTTTATGTCAGCTTATGAACTTTACATCTCTGTACTATACTGATATGAACTATATCTATCCTATGTGTATCTACCCTACTCACAAAGTTACTTTACAGGTACAGATGGAAGTAATTTGCAATTTTTTTGGTCTTCTAGCCTGATATTTAAACACATGGCTACAGTGAAGGCAGGACTGGGATGCAATTTTATGATGGACATTCAGAAATTCAGAGATGAAAGTGAAGATTATGTGTCACATATGTGGCATCATTTGGTAACAGTCTCCAGAAGTGTTGTTGGACAGCTAAGCTGTTTTCAAAATGCAATCATTGTTTTACAGGTTTGTCGGTTTTTGCTATATGTTCAAATGCTGGTGGAATGATGTTTCTCAAGTCATTCATGTGATTGCAGGTTCTGTGAAGTATATAACTGAACAGGTAGGAAGGCCATGTACGTGACCATTACTTTTTATAACATTGAAATTACTTTTCAGTTGGAAAACTGTGTATGGCTGAATCTTGGTATCCAGTAAACGTGCAGTTGAGTCTTGTCAAAGAAAAATGTCGAAGAGTAGCCAATTGCAAGAAGTTTTGATAAAGCAAAGAATAAACTGGTAGAGTTTCTGTTACATTCCATTTAGCGTAACTCTGATTCTGTGATGCCAATAAAACTGCTTGCTGTCACATTATTGGTTTTTTGCTTCTGTTAAGACAATAGTGAACTTTTGAATATCATTTCAATGGTTTACATCACCAAATATAAATGAACTCTTCCTTTATCACTTCTATAGAAACAAGAAAATGAATGGCAGAAAGTTGATTATCTGATGGAATTTGCTGAATGGCTATATTGTAACCAGTTTCCCCTCAATGATGTTATTAAACCTCTGGACTGGGCGGTAGATCTGTTGCTGCATATGAAATTTTCTATGCAGTCCTCACAAGAAGAAGGTATGTAAAAGGTGTACGTCCTTCAGGGGAATTTCTCAGCTTCAAATACAAGAGACATTTTTAATTTGCAACTTAGTTCCCACGAAGAATGGCACCAGCTTGGCTGTACTTTCTCCAGTATTCACTGTCATTTGTTCAAGGCTAGCTTAAATATATCTGTGAATTCTGCTTAAGTGGCTGAAATAAATAAGTTAGACCATCTCTCCCACAGATTAATTTTCGAGAAGACTATAGTTAAAGTGTGCTTCCTGTGGATTTCATTTCTGTGCCAGACTTACATCGTTTAATATACAGAACTGTTACATTATTCATTGAAAACATAGTACAAGTAGCATGTATCACCATAAGAAGAATATCTTCGGTAGATGGATTTCCATTTTTCTGGGTTTTTTCCAAAAATATTTTCATCTTCAATTCAGCAATTTTAACTTTTGAATACATTTTTAAAGTACTGTCACTGCGAGCATTTTATTTGTTTTTCAACAGGAAAAAATACTATACCAAAATTTTCACCTACAGAAAATTTGAAGATGGACATTGGAGCAAATGATACCAAGCCCCAAATTAATTTGGAAGATTTGAGTAATATTAAACAATTGGAAGCTTTGTTTAGAGCACAGACATTAATGGCTGTAATTTCTGGAAATGGTTCTCCTTTTCATGAGCAGCACTGTTTGATGGCATATGCTTGTATTGTCCGTATCTGGCAGGTGAGATTGAGATTATATTATATTATAATGTGGTCAGTATATCTCAAATTATCTTGTGGAATTATGGTGCTAGCTATTCATCTGATGTTTTAACTACGTCTTCAGAATTTCCAATTTTAGTATAGTTAGTATATTTTCTCAGTTTTAAGGATTAAACGAGAGATTTGTTTCTGTCAGGAAAGTAGAGAAGAAGCATTAAGGATAAAAGCAATGGCCCATTGTTTATCTGGAGTACCTTCAGATGTTTTGTGCAAAAGGTTCTAAAACTTTGTATTTTTAATTTGGTAAAGCATCTTAGTGGCAGAATACTGTTCCTCAGAACTGTCAGCAATGTCTTCAGCATGTAATTACAGATAGACCTTCACTTAGTTTGAATCAAAGTGGCTGTTATTTGAATGAAAGAAATTGTGTGACATAGTTAAATTAAAATCAGATGTTGATTCATTTTTTTTAAGTTTTGAGAAAAAATATAAACAGGCAGTGTTGATTCGAAGATCTGATAATAACCTGACAGTAAATGTGTACTATTAAGCAGGTGTTCTTTATTATGGCACCGGGCACACGGGGATCTCTCCTCCAAACATGTGTGCCAAAACCCCTTTCATTTCAGGTTAAATACAACTACAATATGCATAGTAATCATTTTCCAAGAAGGAGTATACATATTCATTATATTTCCAAGAGCTCACGAATATATTCAAATTGTCCTTTACGCAGGCATATTACAGCTCCCGGGTGGTCTCTGGTGGTCTTTTGTCATTACTTCGTCTCTTTCAGTAGTCTTTCTCATTTGCCCGTTAGTTACCTCTGGAGTGCTGCGCATGCTCGGTTTGTTCTGTCTTGTTGCAAAACTGCAAAGCTGTTTTTTGCTGGTTCTTGGTCTCAGCTCCTGCTCTTATCACTGCCTTGTCCTTGCTAAGTTTGCCAATCTGTAGGGACAGCTTGCAACTTCCACACAGGTGCTTTGTTAAAACTAAAACTAGAAAATACCCTTGAAGATACTTTGTTAAAGTTTCATGTTTCTTTTTATTCCTTCTATGAGTGTTTACCGATTATTATTCTCTAGTGACTTTTTTATTATTATAATATCTCAGATCAAATAAATCTGTTTCATTTCTCATTGATATGAGTACCTAATTTAAATGGCTTTGGAGGATCATAGCACAAATCATAGGAAAACAACTATACATTAAATATGAGTGAATCTTTGAATGGACTAAATCTATACTTGGTAATAGTAATGCCACAAATCAATATAGAAACAGTGCTATAGAAGGGACATATCAACTAGATTGGTGAGCTATAGCTTGTGCAAAATTTTATTCCAATTAGCTGTGAAAGCCTGTAATTTGTTACTTCTGTGGTAATTAAGATCAAATTTTTATTGTGAAATCAGTTTAGACTCTAACATTTGATGGAAGACAGGAATTTGAAAAATAAAATGAATATTTATGTTTTCAGATTTTATATAAGCATGATTTTTAATATTCTGAACTTGACTGAGTGTCTTACTAGAGAAAAAAATATCTGAAAGAACTGCTAGTGTTCGCATAAACTATTACAAATAAAAAAATCAAGAGTTAATGGAGCTGTCAGTGCCAGTTGTAGGACATTGACAGTAATTGTAGGAACTCATATTTACAGCTGACCCGTACTGTGAGAAAAAAAATAATCATGTGGCATTAAAGGAATGAATGTACTACAGGACAGCTTAACCTTGTTTTGGAGTTACAAAGTAAAGTAGACTTGACTGCAGATGTCCATTTTGAAAGCAGACTCTCAAGTGTTAGGACTCCATAAATAATTCAGTAGACTACATTAAAATGTGCTCTGAAAAACTGAATAATCCAAGCCAAATCAGCTGCCTTTGACATTTTAAAGACATGTTATCTTTAATTTGAAATTTTCACAAGTTATGCAGCATCCAGGTTTATTTTTTGTTCATATTTTGTGTTCTAATCTTATCCCTCCAGCAAAATATATTAATCTTCTCAAATTAATGTGGTTTTTTATTTATTTTAGATAAGATCAGAAGGTGTGCTATTGCATGCACAGAGAAATTTTCAATGGATGCTTTCATATACTTAAGTACTTAGAAATTTCTTCTATATTTCATTTATTAGTAGCATTGTAGAAAACTAATGCCAAAGGAGAGCAGAGTAGCTTTTTGCGGTCTTCCAGATTACTCTGATAGGAAATTCATCCCTTGTACGAGATTAAGCAATCTAGACTAGTGGTTTAAAAAAAAAAAGGCTGAATTTGAAACTGTATAGGTTAAAAAAGTAGCAGTAGTGTTTATCACAGGGATGATGTCATCTTTTGATAGTTTAGCTTCTGAAGTGCATTGTCATGATCAGCCTAAATGCTTGTACAAATAACGTGAACATCTAGGAGTCTTTGAAATTTTAGTTTTCTGAAGACAGCTGTTATGCCAACGTAACATGGTATATGACAATTGTTAATAGCTGTAGATAGTGACTTACAGAGAATAATCATTATCACTGAAAATTGACATGGAAAAACTGTGATTATTTGATTATCTAGGTATCCTTGTCAGCATCAGGACCTATTACAAAAGTATTATCAAAGTCTTCACAGCTTACAGCTCCTCAGAAGGTACAGTCAATAATTGCTCCTAAAAAAGAGAAGAAAAAAAAGAAAGAGAAACAAGTAAGAACCCCTTTCCTGTGGAATTAAAACAATCATGTTTCTAGGGGATGTTTCCCTGGGCTCATTTGTTAAGTAGTTCAGATGCTTTCATGTAAAGACTCTCATAACAGACAGGGTTCGGGCCAGCTTGTCTAGACCATGCTTTTGCCAAGAAAGGTTGGACCAAATGGTCCTTGAGTTCCCTTCCAACCTGATATTCTATGATTCTGTGATAACCTGTGAAGAATTTTTCTGTGAGCCTGTATATCATACCTTCACTCTTGATCACATGGACTTGACAGGTCATAAATTTACAGATACTTTTCTTTTGTCTGTTGTATTGGTCAAAATACTGCTGCTTTTGTAAACCTCACAGTCCAGAGGTAAAAAAAAAAAGACAAAACTTCAAAGGTTATTAAGCAGATATGGGATTTTTAATATTAGCTGAATATTTAATACCAACAAGGATGTTAATTTGGCCTCATGAATGCCCTTATTTTTTGTTATAGGTTGAAGTTTCCATTGTGAAAGAGAAGCCTAAAGGGAAAGGATCGTCTGATACCTTACCAGCAAATGTGGAAGAATGGGCTCATTATGACTGTCCCAATGAAATCAGAGATACTTTTAAACAGAAAACAAATAGTTATGGTATTAATTGGGATAATTTCCCAAAACCTGTAAGTATAATCCTCAAAATTCTAGAGCATTCATTATTTAGGAAAAAAATGAGTAGCAGAGAACTATGTTGCGGTTTAGTTTCTCTGTCTGTGCAATAAAGAGAATGTTCAGACAGCTGTGAGAAATACTTCCTTCTCATAGTATTCATTAATACTTCAAGAAGTGTTAGTCTGTCTTCTGCATTCTGAAATGAACTTAACTTACAGAATAAAATTGCTGGCTTTGTGTGTACCTAGCTTCTTTTTCATCTTGAAAGTTTGTTTCTTTTTTTTTTTCCAGTAAATTTTGGAACTGAAGATGCAATCATTAATTTAAAATTTATTCTCTACAAAATTATGTTTATACTGATTGAGTTTAAAAAAATTTCTTTTCAGACTTGCACTTTGTATTTTATGGACCTTTTATCTAAAGAACTACGGAAAATTTTTTGCCCTCAGTTGATTCTTCCCATATTTCAGCTAGCTGAAGTTATTGCTAATGAAGTTGTGGAATGTGGAAGTCTGTCTGATCTCTATCACCTTCGGTTTGTATCCTTTATTTTAAATAAAAGAGAAACTGAGTGGGGTGGACCATCTATTAATGCTTCACTGAATAGTAACATGGCTTTTTGTGACTTACTGTTTTATATTTGTAATGTTTTTTATTTCTTTTAATTCCTTCTTTAAACATATTTTAATAGAGTTTTGATTAATTGGTTTGTTTGTGGAATTAAAGCCACTAAGATTACCTGTTACTAAACATGATCTCCATGAGGAAAGGTGTACAAGATTATGCACTCAAGCCACTTTTATGTGTATAATTTTACTAATACCTTATTGTCATCTAACTGAATAAAGCAAAGTTCAAAAAAATTTCGGTAAAAGTATTAAGTATTTGAAAGGCAGACTCCCATCTTGCATCAAAAACATAGTCTTTAACTTCAGAACCCAAGTAAGTATCCCCATTTAGCACATTCTCATTTATAGAGATTTGCCTTTGTGACCAAAATGCTGTTGTTTTCATGGACAATTAGCCCTAAAAGTTTTTATTCAAAAATATTTAAAATGTGTGCAATGGCAAATTATTGCTGTTTTCGTTAAAACATTTCATCATGCTTTTCTGAAATGTATTGATAATGTTTTCTTAATATTTAATAGCTATAGGCGATGATTGTTAGCTTAATTCCCGATAGTTTGTGAAGTGCCACATAATGTATTTTTAAAATGTCTGAAACTGATCACACATAATAGAATAGATAAATAGTCACATATACAAATATGTGTGTGTTTATCTAGATTGCCAGTTGGTTACTGAGTTACTGTCTTACAAGACTAGAAGTGGTTTACTAACAGGAAATTGATTTGCAGCCAAGCTTTGCCATACAAATTTTTTTGCTGACTCTTCAAGATTTGTTTTTATTTCACAATATTTTATTTATATCTATGACTTGATTTTTACATATGATTGGATAGGTCTACATGAATATGTTACTCTTCGCTCAGTACAGAAAAGTACATGCGCGTATACACATGTATAGGGTTTTTTGCATGCTATAGTGAGACCATATTATAAATATTTTTGTAGTTTTACCACATACTTTTTGCCACTAAATTGGAGAGATACGGGTTTGCTGGATAAACTGGGGAATACGGGTGGATGCCCCATCCCTGGAAGTGTTCAAGGCAAGGTTGAAAGGGGCTTTGAGCAACTGATCCGGTGAAAGACGCTCCTGCCCGTGGCAGGGGAGTTGGACTAGATGATCTGCAAAATATGCCTTCCAACCCAAACCGTTCTATTATTCTGTGACCTTTGGCAATGGGTAATTTCAACTACCGCATTTCCCCCCTTTTTTATTTAAAATTTTTGTTATTGCCAATATTAATCAAGACAGAAGAAGGTAGGATTGACAAATGTGGAATGTATGCTTTTTATAATGTGTTTATATGAAGCAACATATGAAAGATTCTCATTGTTTCTTAAACATTTCTTCTTTTTATTCTTAGAATTGCCCTGATATGTTCAGACCTAAAACTGACTCAGGCATCTTTGTATCATGAGAAAGCTGCTGGAGAAGCATACATCAGTGAATTAGAACAAGCAATGTATGTATTTTCACTAGAGAGGCTGTATTTAGTTGAGTTGTTT